TCCTCCAGTGCAGCCTGGAGGAGGGTTCCCACAGACCTGTGCCCACTCTTCTTCCATGATCGGCACAGTTTTTACTGAAGGAACATGCAGAGCAGCCTGTTTCTGTGTCACCCCAATCAGGGAAGGGGTACGCTCAGCCTTGCCCTTGACAGGCATCCAGGATGCAGGCAGCACCTCTGAGACAGCCCTCAGCTGGGAGGAGCAAGGCGCCTCTGTTTATCTGCCCCAAATATTTATTTCTAACCCCAGGCACTGAACAAGCCTGATGCGGATGCCTATTCCGGGGTATCTGTGCACTCCACACACCACGGTGATCTGACAGAGAGTACAGAGTCACCCCCAGGCCTTCCACAGGTGGCCTGGACACTGGGGGTCCTGAAAGCAGAGGACAGGCCATGTTTTCTCTCCCTGTTCCCTCCTATGAGCTCCTTGAGGGCACTCTGCCTCTCTTCGTGTGTCCCTGGGGCTGGGCTCCATATCAGGCACTTTCCTTAGTGCTCAGTAAGTAGTAGATGAAGGTTAAATGAGGAGAAGAACAGAGTTTCCATAAGGATGCTGAGACACAAAGGCCCAGCCAGACAAGGTCCAGTCAAGGTCCTGATCGGGAGCCTGAGGGTTCTGTTCTGTTCTGAGTAGCCCATCAAGGATGGAATGAAAGACAGGAGGAACAGCAAACTCATTTTCACACACATTACCTCAGGCATAACTCAAATATGAGCTGGGGACACACATTCTCCAGGATCTGGATAGGACTTCCTCAGACCCCCATTATAGGGCTCAGAGCTGCTGTTATGGTCACCTCTGGCTCAAAACTTCTCCCTCCACTGAATTCTTCTTGCTGTGAGTGTCTTCTGTGTACCGTGGCTATGCATCCAGATGGGCACTCAGCCCCTTCATCTGATTGCCACAGAGAAGAAAAATATCACTCACATTGAGAAGATACCACCACAAAAACTTGGAATTAAATAAGACAGCTCCCAATCCCTGGAAGCCTTTTGCAGCGCCTGACTACTGGAATTTTTAACTGGCCAGGAGACCCAGCCAACCCCCCCGAGCCTCAGCTGTTTTTTGGGGCTCATCTCTCTTCCTCACCCCACCCTCCCTGATCTGCCTGCCACCCCACACCCCCACAGCTCTCCTCAGGCCCACCCCTAAACCCCAGCACAGCCAGACTCACGCAGGGGTGAGTGAGCATGGAGACCATCTCTCCTGGGAGCAGCTCAGAGGGCTAACTGCAGGGGCCCTGATGCTCTTGAGACATCACCAACCCTCCTTAGAAGGCAGTATGATTTTCCCAGGCAATCCTCCCCCTATTTTCCCAGGTAATCCGCACCCTGTAGAGACAGGTGTGTTATTTATCTCTGTTTTGCAGATGAGCCTCAAGGAGGTCATTAATTATCCAAATTCACCCAGGTAATTAGTGTGGAAAATGGGATTTAAACCCAAATCTTGGAACTCCTGGCCTAGTGCTCTTTCCACTGTACACAGCGGGGCACAGTAGGATGGAAGGCTCTGTGTGGGGACAGCACTCTGAGCAAAGCAACTTCCCCCTTAAAACTGGTCGTTCCAGCATCCAGAATGTGCAGATATCAGGCAGTCAGCTGGAGTGGAGTTTAACAGAGACTCGTGACTCCAAGTCTGTGCCCTCAAATGGTCTATCCTGTAAAGAAGGAAGCAAAATACCCACAGGACACCTGTGTATCAATACCAGAGGACACATAGGCCTAAGGAAGGCCGAACAAAAATGTGCAGTGTTAAGTCAATCCCTGGGGGAGGTGAAAGCGTCCTTTCTTTTCTCTTTTTGTTTGAGTTGGACTTCAGATGCAGAAGACTAAGTTAATTGTATTCTTCAGATTGTAGCACAGTATCACGCATGATTGGTCTGTGCAAGGTCTGTCCCATATTATTTATTTTTGTTCTCACTCCCACTTTCATGTGCCTTCTTCCATAGGCAGCCATCATGTGTATTCATTTTTTGGTGTGTATTCTCGAAAATGTGAATTGTTGATCTGTATGCCTGTCGTTTATATCCACGTCGGCAGAACTGTCATGCCTCTCATGTTTGGTTGTTTCGTTTTGCTGTTTCACTTGGCACTGTGCTAAGCTTTCTCCTTGTTGCTGTGTGCTGTGGTCCTCTGCTTTCAGCAGGTGCATTATCCTGCGTGGCAGCCTCTACCCGAGCTTACGGGTCCACACCCCAGTGATGATCACTGAGGTTGCCTCCAATTCCCTGCCATCATAAACACCCCCACAGTAACAAACATCTTCACATATGACCTCTTAGGGCTATGTTCAGAGATTTTGGGGACATCTAACCAGGAGCAGAATTGCTGTTTCCTGGGCCATGTGTGTAGTTGCTGTGACTGAGTGGTGCCAGGTCACTCCCTAAGTGGCTGCCCCAGCTATGCCCACACCAGTGCTCCTGTATCCCCACATCTGCACCAATGCTTGGCATTATCCTGCTTCTGACTTTTGCCAACCCAAAGGTAAGATGTGATAGCTCACTGTGACTTCAGCTTGTATTTCTTGAATTCCTGATGAGTTTGTGCATCTCTTCATTCTCTTGTGAGCTTTTAGGGTTGCCCCTTTCATAAACCGCCTGTCCATTGCCTACTGTTACACTGGGATTCTTGAAGATCTTTTCTTCAAGATTTGCAGGACTCTTATATCTCCTAGAGAAGCCTCTTCACAAACAGTGCACACTCTGCTGTTGTAGTTACCTGTCTAGGGTAAGGGGACCCATGTGGTTACCAGTTCTTCAAACCATCATCCTGGGGGTTGTCATGGACTTTGTCATGGGCATATATACAATCAAGGTAAAGGGAACCCCTTCCCCATTTCCTTCTATCAGCTTTGCCTAAGGATCGCAATCCAGGAAGACAGGTAACAAGGAAAAAAACTACCTCTTCTCTGGGGCTGCTAACCTGCTGTGTCAATTTCATGAGCTAATAAATGATTGGAGAAGGCTTAATTGTATCAGAGAAATTGAGATCAGTCGATGCTTAGGCCCCACTCAATTAACTTGTGCTCCTAAGGGGGCCGAGCAAGGAGCAGGGGGCAGTTGATGGTTAATTACATGTGCTGGTGCCAGCTGTAGCTGGCGTTTCCTGCCAGCATTCATCCAGGCAGTGAGGCGAGGTGACCCTGCTTCAGTGAGGCTGAAGTCACTAAGAACAGGGGGCCTTTCAGATAGAGCAGAGACCCCCTGGCCTCATGGGGAAGTGAGAGATCTATTTCCCAGCACATTCTATCCGGGTGGCTTTTAGGGTCCAACTCCAGCCTCTACTAGACAAATGGCCTTTAAGGCCCCTCATTCTGACAGCTTTACTGGCTCCATCCCACCCAGGCTCACACCACGTGCCTTTGGTTCTTCTTAGACTTCCCCCTCCTCCTGCCCCCAGCCTGCTTGCCTCCAGGCCCAGAACCCAGAGCCATTCTTGTCATGGGCACCAGATAAGGCCACAGCTCTGCAAGATCACTCCCCTCCCCTGCTGCCTCCAGACTGAAATCCTCCCAAAGAAGTTTCTTCTTGCATCATTTTCCAGAAAGCCAGATGGTAAGATTCAAACCTGCTAAGAATCCAGATTCCTTGGCCCTACCCTGTAGACGCTGCTTTAATAACCCTGGAAGTCTCCATTTTTTAATACGTGGCTTAGGGAATTGTTACCTTCAAGCCAGTTTGAGAAACCCTACTTCAGCGGACATCCCACTCCTGACGAAGTAAGTACAGATCTTCTGGAAGGAGAGACAACATCAAATGGAAAGCCCTAGCCTGGGACCTCTACAGTGCCACCTCCCCATTGCTGTGCGTGTTCTACAAGTCACTTGTCTCGTCTGAACTTGGTTTCATCATCTAGAAAATAAAAATACTGTAAATCATTCTGTCGTAAAGACACATGCACAAATGTTCACTGCAGCACTATTTACCTTAGCAAAGATGTGAAATCAACCTGCATACCCATCAGTGACAGACTGGATAAAGAGTGATAAATAGACACCATGGAATACTATGCAGCCATAAACAAGAACAAGATCATGTCTTTTGCGGGAACATGGATGGAACTGGAGGCCATTATTTTTAGCAGACTAACACAGGAACAGAAAGCCAAAGACCACATGTTCTCACTTTGAAGTGGGCGCTAAATGATGAGAACTCATAAATACAAAGAGGGAACAATACCTACTGGGGCCTACTTGAGGGTGGAGGGTGAGAGGGGGAAGGGGCAAAAAAAAAACTATTGGATACTAGGCTTAATACCTGGGTGATGAATAATCTGTACAACAAATCCCTGTGACACGAGTTTACCTGTGTGACAAACCTGTACTTTTACCCCCAAACCTAAAAAAAAAAGTTTTTTAAAAAGATACTGGAGTCCTCACATTTCCATGGATGCTTTTTTCTATAAGTAACTGATATGTTAAACAAGCACGTCACATGATTTATGCTCACAACGCAACTTTAATTCTTTTTCTTCAAATGTCCCATTACTTTAAAATGTGTTCAGTGGGAGAAATCTTCCCCTGCCCCTAGAAAAAACTTCAGGCCAATCCTATTGCTTTGTCATCCAGTCTTCGGCGAAAACCTTATAGTTACTGTAAGTTTCAGATACAGTCCACTCAGACGTTAGAATGCATAATAGGCTGGCCAAGGTGGGTGGATCACCTGAGGTCAGGTGTTCAAGACCAGCCTGGCCAACATGGTGAATCCCTGTTTCTACTAAAAATACAGAAATTAGCTGGGGGTGATGGCAGGTGCCCATACTCCCAGCTACTTGGGAGGCTGAGGCAGAAGAGTTGCTTGAACCCGGTGGGCTGAGGTTGCAGTGAGCCGAGATTGTGCCACTTTACTCCAGCCTGGTCAACAAAGCAAAATCCCGTCTCAAAAAAATATATATATATTTTTTTTTCCTTCGATTATATATATATATGTAATCATAATAATCATGAGTGGTGAAACATTCTGACCTCCATTCTGACCTCATTATTCTCCTTTCTTCCAGTTTCGTTCCGCTCAAGCTGGAAGCACCTAAGGTGGGCCCCACACGTCCCTCTCCTTTCTACACCACCCTGTTCTATCTTCCCACCACACCCAGGAGCTGCAGTTTTACCACTTGCCAGGATTGAAATTAGGGGTTCTTACTGGTTAGAGAGCTGGAAGAAACTGAAAACTGGCTCTAGCTTTTGGGACTGTTGCTGCGGGCTCTCCTGGGTTCCCTGCTGGGCTGGCCCTCTCTCCTGAAGTTCCCTTCCCCACACAAGCACTGCAGCTCTGATCCAGGAGTCTCTGGCAACCCCTTGCCCAGCCTCTGGGCATGTCAAGGCCACCTGCAGCCTCTTCAGTTGAGGTCCTCCCACTGTTGACACTTAGACAATATTGACTCAAGACAGGCAGCCCCAGAGCCCTCCTCCCCTGGGATACATAGCTCATCAACACCTGTCACCATGGAATCTCCTCACCAAACCTTCACCAAGTTATTGTCCTACCCGTATTTTATAAAGTGGGTGAAAGCATCCACGGATCCCGAGACAGATGTTCTTGCATTCCCATTGTACAGTCTGTACGGCCAGGGAACGAGGGCCCTGTCCCAGACTCACTTCCGCCTTCTGATTTCTATCCTTTGCCATGTCAGAACTTGTGCAGGAAGCGCCCCACTGTAATACCCAGTCACGTGAAACTCAATGTCATGGTTTGATGTGAGTGAGAACATCTTGGAGAAAAGAAAGCCTCAAGTGCCCAGAATGTCCAAGCAGGACCTGGGAGAGTATAGTAAGGCCCAGATCTAGGAGGGGGGTGATGCGGGGACAGGGCTGCTCAGTCACGCAGTCACTCTGCCTCCTTCTCAGCTGTTGGACTCAGACAGTACCAGTCCCTGAGGCATCATGCTAATGTCCGTCCTTTGACCTCCAGCTTCTGGCCAAGGGTGAGAACCTGGAGGTGATTAGCCCTGTCCTCTTGGAAGGTGGCTCTGTGGCTGGGGTTAATGGCTGGATTTCCTCCCTGATGAAAATATCTGCCACCCAGGAGGCCTCTCCTCCTCAGGACCACTGAGCAGGGCTGAGTATCACCCCCACAGGGCATTCCTCTCCCCCCTTCTCTCAGTGTAGACTCCAAACTCTTCCAAAGAATGTTGAGTGGTTAAAGATCAACACTGTCCTGGCCAGGTGCAGTGGCTTGTGTCTGTAATCCCAGCACTTTGGGAGGCCAAGGCAGGTGGATCACCTGAGGTCAAGAGTTTGAGACCAGCCTGACCAACATGGCAAAACCCCATCTCTAGTAAAAACACAAAATAGCCAGGCCTGGTAGCAGGCACCGGTAATCCCAGCTACCGGAGAGCCTGAGGCAGGAGAATTGCTTGAACCCAGGAGGCCGAGGTTGCAGTAAGGTTGCAGTGAGCTGAGATCGGCCTGGGCAACAGAGCAAGACTCTGTCTCAAAAAAAAAAAAAAAAAAAAAATCAGCACTGTCCTGGGTTAGATTGACTGGTTAAATGAATAAATAAAAGAATGTAAAGAGACACCCAAATGTTAGCCTACCCTGGATTCCTGGATGTCCTGGAAGGACCCTGCTGCCCCCTCCTCCATCAGCACAGCAGCCTGAACTTGCTCATCTGGCTGTCCAGTCACCATCTTTGGCCTGACAGAAGTCGTTAGAAGTCAGGATATTGGAGTAGGGGAAGGGAGCCTATGGCGCAGGCACTGGGGAAGATAGACCCAGGGAATGGTGAGGAAGAGGCTGGGAAAGAGGTAGGCTGACAGCAGGGTCAGTCATCCGGCAACAAGGATGCATCCACTAGGGCACAGATCCGAATCCTCCAGTGGAGCAGGAGAAAGCCAGCCCAGCGCCCTGCCCTCTCAGCCTCACCTCCCAGCTGCTGCCCTGGGCACAGGGTTTCAGCAGCAGCACAGAGGGAAGGAGACAAAGCTGGGATCAGTGTGACCTCACAGGTCTGTGCTCAGGTTCTTAGGAACCCAAGGAGCTTGGGAGGTTTACCTCAAGGAGCGAAGCCCTGGGGAGACTTCCACCCTAGAGCTGTGGGACTGCAGCTGCCCCTGGCCTGCTTGTCTGTCTGTCTGTCCTCAGCAGGAGCCTGTCTGTCCTCAGCCTCCCTGTCCAGCTCTCACAGGTCTTCCCCTCTCTTCTCTGGCAGGGACTGATGCCCTTGGCCATGAGGCACCCCCAGCTGCTGTCTGCTCAGGCGCAGCTCGCGTGACTGAGCCATCACTGCTCCAGCTGTTTCACGTAAGTGTAAGGCACAGGCCACACCCTTTTCCCCTGGGAGAGGGAGTCTGGGCTACCAGTGGGAAAGGAGCTTCAGAAAGTCCTGGTCACAGAGGGAAGGCCCTGAGGATTCTTTAGAGGACAGCAGGCTTGTCCCCTTTGGCTACCCGCATTCTCTGACTTGGCCACCAAGAAATCATTCTGCCCCAGACCTGCTGAGACCTGGATGGGAACCCAGGGACCTCTTTCCCCTGTCCTCACGACACCTCCAGAGGTGGCTGGTGTGATGAAAACTCCACAGCACTGGCCCGTGGGTCCTGACTCAGACACTTGCTATCCTGTGACTTTAGGCGAATGACTTGTCAGGCTGGCTGCCCCTCCAGAACTGCTGGGGCTTCTGTAAGATTCAATGTATTGTCGTTGTCTTTTGCTGCATCACAAACTACCACAAACCCAACAGCTTGGAACAACACGCAACGATTCTGCGTTTCTGTGGGTCAGGAATCCAGACGTGGCTGGTTGGCCCACTGCCTTAGGGTCTCAGCTGGGCCAAATTCATCCCAAGGTCAAGTGCAGAAGGATCCACTTCCACTCTCATCTATGTGATTGTTCAGTTCCCTTTGGGAGGCTGGCTTGAGGGCCTCAGTCCCTAGCCAGGAATTGGCCAGAGGCTACCCTAGGTTTCTGGACACATGGGCCTCTGCAGCGGGGCAACTTTCAATATCAAAACCATCAGACAGAATGGCTGGCAAGAGAAAAGTCCGAATCTTACATAACCTATTCACAGAAGTGACATCCCATTACCCATGCTGTTTTCTATTGGTTAGAAGCAAGTCACAGGCCACACCCACCCTCAGGGGAGGGGAGTACATAAGGGCGTGACTGCCAGGAGGCAGGGACCTTTTGGGCCACCTCAGAGCCTGCTCGCCATAAGGGCTCCGTAAGTGTAAATGGAGCAGTTTGCAAACTGCAGGCTGCTGTTCGGGTGTAAGAAGTTACTGCAAAGAGGTGATGGACCCTTCAGAAATAATAGTCACTGAATGTAGGAATTTAAATGCCAAGCTGTACCATGAGCACAGAAATTAGCCAGCGCGCCAGCTCATGCCTGTATTTCCCAGCGACTTGGGAGGCTGAGGTGGGAGAACCGCTTGAGCCCCAGAGGTCGAGGCTGCAGTGAGCAGAGATCAGAGCACTGCACTCCAGCCTGGGTGACAGAGCAAGACCCTGTCTCAAAAAAACTTTTATTTGCCGTTAGTACACAGGTTGAGAGCTGATTAGTTCATCTCACACCCTTCACATGTCCCTTCCTGGCTTATGATTTTAAGGCCATTTCTAAACAGCCACAGCATGTCTAGGCCTTCCTTTTCCCCACAAACAACCATGTTTGTGGGGTCTTTTCTAGCTTACAAAGAGCTCTCACACCCATCCCCCTCGTTCCTCCCAGTCACACTTGAGAACTCAGAGGAAGAGATGATCCTTGGTTGTGACTCGTCATGATCCTAATGGTGAGGGAGGCGTGACAGGAATGTGAGAGCCGAGTGTTCTGTTCATCTTTGCTTCACAAGTGAGAAAGGAGGTCATTTTCCAGTATGGGGTAGCTGCTCAGTGGCATAAGTGATCCTTGAACCTGGGCCTTGAGAACCCCGGCTCTGCCCACACTGCCGTGCCCCTGACGTCCTGGCCATTGCTGTGTGCAGCCTGCGTGGTTCTGAAAGAGGAGGGCCCAGCACGGGGCGGGTGGGGCGGGGGGGAGGGCACGGCTCTTATACGGCTTCCCATAATTCCCTGTCTCCTAAAACAGCCTGGGCACATCCTGGAACACTAGTCCAAGCCTCTCTGTAGAGGGGAGCACTGCTGTCTCCCCAGCTTCAGGTCACTCCTGCACCTCTCTGTCCAGAAGCAGCCCTCAGCAGTGAATATGCAGGGAAGCGGTGGGGGTATGAAGTGGTGCTGTAGTGAAAGCGTCTAAGCCCTCCTCAGGCTGAGATTCATCTGCCCCCTACCTTCCAGATGCCCCGGAAAAAGCCCTGAAGCATGGCCCACCATGTACCTGGGCAAAGTGAAAGTGATCCGGAACAGTGACGCTCAAGTCTGCAGATGGGACTGAGCTGAGAGGTGCAGCTTGCTGCCCCCCGGTGGTCTGTTAGAGTCATAACTGCCAGGGCTGTGACAAGCTAAACAGTGAGCTTTTAAATACCAGCCACGCGCCAGGCGTGATGTATAATGCTGCAGGGGATAGGAGACTGTGTAGGACACAACCCCTGATCTCAGAGGACTTACAGTGGAGGAGTCAAGATGTTCCCACATGAGAAGTTGACTCTCATCCCACCAAGCAGGATTTGAAGAGCAAACCATGAAGAACATTGCAGTAGGAGTCCAGAAATGAGAGAGGGTCAGGGCTGGGGCAGTCAGGGGAGGCTTCTCAGAACCTCGAAGGATGAGCAGGATTTAAACAGATGGAAGAAGAAACACCACACACTCCCCTGTTGAAAGCCCCTGGGGACCCCCACAGCCTCCAAGCGAGTTAATCCGGATTCCTTGCCTGGCTTGCAGCCTCTCCGTGACCTGGCTTGTCCCAGCCGGGCCAGATCCCTCACAGTTCCTGGGACTACTCATTCTGCCCTCCCCACCTTTTCTACCAGATAAGCTCTCACTGAGCTTTTAGGATTCAGCTCAATACAACATGCAGTGGAGCACCTCCCTAGTCATTAGCTGCCCCACTCTGTGTTCTGCAGCTCTGGTCTGTGCCTCTGTGGCTGCGAGTCTCACACCGTATCCTAAGGTATGCCTGCATCTTTTCATCACTGGGAAATAAGCTGCTTAAGATCTGTGGGACTGTGGCTCACACTTGTAATCCCAGCACTTTGGGAGGCTGAGGCAGGTGGATCACCCACCTCAGCGGGTGGTCAGGAGTTCGAGACCAGCCTGGGTAACATGTGAAACCCCATCTTTACCACAAATACAAAAATTAACCCAGTGTGGTGGCGCATGTCTGTAGTCCCAGCTACTCGGGAGGCTAAGGCATGAGAATCACTTGAACCCAGAAGGTGGAGGTTGCAGTGAGAGGAGACTGCACCACTGCACTCCAGACTGGGGGACAGAGTGAGACTCCGTCTCCAAAAAGAAAGAACAGTGGGGCTGCATGATGGGCAGCGGATCATGTAGGCGGAAGAAAGGGAGGTAAAGAGGGAAAGAGAAATAGGGTGAGCATGCAGGAAAGTGGAGGATGGTGATGCCTTTGAAGCTGTCTCTAAAAGTTAATGGGCAGATGAATGTATCCTGCAGGCAATGTGGTGCCTGAGAGTCACAGAGGGGCCCAGGGGTATGAAGAAAGGCTTACCAGCTGGTGGCAGGAAAGGGGACTCAGAGACAAAACTGGGAAGGTTAGTTAGGAAAGCATTGCACCAGTGCAGCTTGAGAGGTGACGAGTCTTCACTGGTGTGGGGAACAGAAGACTGCTGTAGCTAAAGAAGAATTTGAGGAGTTTAAATTCTGGGCAGCTGGGGGCATGTCCCATGGCCCTGTCAAACTCTAATGTGCAACTTACTCAACTGAGACCTTGTTAAAATGCAAACTCTGACTCATTAGGCCTGTGGGAGCTGAGATGCCATCATTCTAATGGTGCTTCCAGGCGACGCCTTCCGCAGAGCAGGAGAGGATTAGGAGTCGTGCTGCCGGGTGGTGCAGCTCTCCAGGAGCAGTGGTGGGGAGGTGGTGTCTGTGGGTGAAGAGATGAAGGTACCCCTTTTACCCAGTGAACACATCAGGGTGCTTTGTGAGCAGAGTGCAGTTGGGTTCCAGCCCCACTTGCCCTTTGAGTAATAAACAACTTGCAAAATCCTTCAGGGCAGCAGCTCTGGTGGAATCACCAACAGAGGCAGAGAGGTCGGAGGCAGGAGTCCATTTGGAGAGCAGAGTGGTGACTTTAACCTGTCATAACTGAGTGTGAGATGGCCACTGGGACATCCACTGAAATGTCTGTCTACTAGCAGTTGGAGACCTGGACTGGGGATCTGTGGGCTCACTGATGATAGGCCACACAGTAAAGAAAGCAATGAGGGCTGGCTGGGACTCATCTAACCCTTCTGGCCTTTTTCAGCAGTGACTCTTTCCTTCCAACATCTCTGTCCTTTCTGTTGTCTTGCAGGTCACCATTCCCTTTACTGAACGTAAGTGATCGTAGTCATTCTTCCCTCTTCAAGACGCCAAGTCCCCAGTCCCCACCCTTCTGTCCCATTGGTTCCAAAGTGCCTGCGAGGCTCAGAAATCCTCATTCACTGACCTAAAAGGAAAATCTGCCTGAAGCCAGGACTGCCTCACACCCAGAGCTTGCCTCTGACCTGTTCATTCAGCCTCAGAAGCCAGGACCAGTCTCCCCATCTGGCCACAGCCTTCCAGGGCCCAGGATGCCATACACTGCGGGGGTGGGGGGCGGCCAGGCTGGATGGATTCGCAGCCAAAGTATTCTCAGCCCTGTTCAGCATGCCTGCAGCAGGGATAACTAGTAACTGCCCCAAGGTTTATGGCGAGGATGCAGTAAGACGCGCACGGGGCACTTAGCGCGATGCTGCACACAGAGGAGCCTCGCTATCATCAGCAGCTGTTACTCTGCGTCCAGCGCCATGCAGAACGGTGAGGGGCTAAGAAGGGTGTGAAGGGAGAGGAAAGGCGAGAAGAGCACCAAAAGGAAAGACAGAACTTTTGGGAACTGGACAGAAGCAAGGGGCAGTATTAGCACTCAGCTTTCTCTCTTCCCTCCCGCAGCTGTTATCTGCCCCCTACCAAACACCCCACTTAGGCTGGCCCAGTCCAGAGCCACAGCCCGTCCTCAGCCTTCAGGAAGTCCCTGGGGCCCAGCCCTTCCTGCTCCTGCTGCTCTCAGAGCCCCTGCCCAGCCAAAGGGCAGTTCCAGGAAGACTCCCTCTGGCCCAGCCCAGGGCCGCAACCACAGCTGGTCTTCAGCCTGCCGCACATCTTTGCAGAGTTTGATGGGGCGCCGGGCGGATGACAGCGGGAACAGTTGTGATCACTGGCGGAATCCTAGCTACGGTGATCCTCCTCTGCATCATTGCCGTCCTGTGCTACTGCAGGCTCCAGGTCAGTCCTCATAGCCCAGAGGCTGCAAGGCCACCAGCAAACCTCTTTTTCTTTCTGGGGGCAGAAAGTGGAGGCCAACTTCAGGGCCCACAGAGCCCAAAGCCATGGAATGTGGCAGGCTAAGTCACGGAGGCTGGGAGTGGGCTGGTCAGAAGGGAGCTAGGCATATCCCCAGCCTGCACCCTCAGGGCACACAGTGCACTGGGAAGATTCAGGGTCACTGGGTTGTGTCTCCTGCACCTCTGAGATTTCAGGGGGGTGGGAAGAGCACCATGCTGGGGAGGCTCTGAAAGCTGCGGCCAGCAGCCCCAGCCCTGCCCTCATAATGATGTGTGTGTCCCTGCCCCACTCACCCACAGCCTGGACTTACAGCCCGTAGTAGTGGGAGGGGAAAGGGAAAGAACGCTGGCCTTGCATAGCTGGGAATAGAAGCTTGTGGAGCAGACCCCTGGGGTTCAGTGCCTGGCTTCTCCATGCACCTTCTTCCTAGGTTCTCCATGGAGCAGGGGACAGGGCACCTGTGCACACTCAAAAACATGTTGGGGCTGGGGAAGCATTCATCCTCTCAGGCATCCCTCTGCCCTTCCCCGCAGTATTACTGCTGCAAGAAGAGCGGAACCGAGGATGCAGACGAGGAGGAGGAGCAGGAGCACGACCTTCCCACGCACCCCAGAGACCCCAGCTGCAATGCCTGCAGCTCCCAAGCCCTGGACGGCAGAGGCAGCTTGGCACCTCTCACCGGGGAGCCCTGCAGTCAGCCCTGTGGTGTGGCAGCGAGCCACTGCACCACCTGCTCCCCATACAGCTCCCCCTTTTACATACGGACGGCTGACATGGTGCCCAATGGGGGTGGAGGCGAGAGGCTCTCCTTTGCTCCCACATACTGCAAAGAGGGGGGACCCCTATCCCTCAAACTGGCAGCACCCCAGGGTTACCCGGTGACCTGGCCAGGCTCTGGGTGTGAGGCCTTCACCAATCCAAGGGCTATTAGTACAGACGTGTAAACCCTTCCAACCTAACCCGCACACACACCCACACTGCCGCCCTGGCAGGAGCCATGGACACAGTAGCTGACCCTCCAACAGCCCCACATGGGCTCTCTCTGTTTCTTTGGCTTTTCTTACTCCACAGTGGAGGGTTTACCAGGATTTAAGCTTTTGAGTGCATTGAGAACCAGGACAGGGCCTGGCTCCAACTCTGTGGCCCAGAGGTGGGGGGCTGCTAGGTTGAGTCAGCAGCCTCCCCAGGTTCTCAGTTGGGACACTCCTCCGGTAGCCCCAGCAGCACCACAACCCTTGCAGCAGGCCCAGCCCGGGGCTTTGCTGGACTGCACAAAGGAGCACCACGGAAAGCTCAGCAAAGCCTCTGGAAGCCTCCAGGGTCCTTGGGAAGTGAAGCATCCGTGCCTGCGAGAAGGGGACAGAGGGCAGGGGGAGAAGGGAGAGCTGCGATTCCAGCATTGGAGAAGCGAGGGTAGGGGCGCGAACGGGGCTGCGTATCCAAGAGCTAGTTCACAACCCACTTTTGTACGGTTGGTTACCATAGCTACTGCTGTCACTGTAGCTGCTTCCATAGGGACGTTGATTCCTGAACGTATCACATCTCACCTGCCCCCTTCCTCGTGGAACCCATCGAGTTTACTTTAAAGCCTAAGGTGACTTACGGGGACGGCACCAGAAAGTGACTCTCTAACCTTGTGTTCCTCGAAATCCTTTCTCTGCCTTAGGAACTAGCGCCCCCTGCTGGAAAAGCTTTTTCATTTTGTTACCAGATTTCTAGTAGCTTAGCAGAGACCTCTGGGCCCAGCCCACCACCCGGAGCAGCTCGCGTGGATGCAGTCCGTTCCCAGGTGTATACATACACACACACATACCAGTCACCACGGGTAGGCAACAGGGGCTTTGTACCTTCAGGAGCTGCAGAGTGGAAAAGTCTCCCATGTACCATCGAGAAAGAAAAGTCTGATCCCCAAAGAGCTTGAAAGAAAGGCGGTTAACGTGGCCAATCCCCATGGCAGCCAGCGGGCTGGTGAACAGGAAGAGCTCAGACTCTCCGTGGGGTGAAGTTGCAGCAGCTGAAACCACGTCAGCGTCCCCATAGCCCAACATTCTACTCGGGCATCCACCCGTGACGCCGTTGAGCAGGACCTTCATCCCAGAGCAACAGCACCGTCCTGAGGATGGGAGGAAGTGACATAGCCTTGGGATTCCACGCTTACCGCGCCCAAGTGGCCGCCCTACTCCCCAGTCTCTGGCGATCAGCCATTCATTGTGGCTCACACCAGTCTCATTTCCAACTCTGACTTCCCACTTAGAACGTGGCAGTGGCCTTATGCTTGGTGAGTGAGCATGCCTGATGAGTTTTCCAGTGGCCCTGAAGAAGCTCGTCCCCTTCTCACTCCTGAGTCACTGAATTCGCAGAGGGTGGGGCAGGGAAAGGGCTGGCCCCCCTGCTGAAATCTTGATTCTGCATTTGACAAAGGCAGGGTGCTTCTGAGGGAGCAGGGAGGGAAGAGGGGAACGCACGTCCTTTGCACCACGATTAAGGCACCTTTCACCTTGCATCTCAATCAGGAATGAAAGCACCCTGAGTTGAGAAGCAGACTGGGCTCTGGTCACACTTCGGTCACTCATTAGCTCTAGGACCAGTCACTAATCTCTGAGGCTCCATTTTCTCTGGGGAAACGTGCTTTGCCCAGATAAACTAAGGACCATTTAGTTTATCTGCTCTAGGAAGTGAGAATTTCCTGAAAAGATCTGCCGGCCCGGGGCCACTCCCTCTTGCCCTAATCCTGGCAGGGTCTGGAGGTATTGACCCAGGTTTCTGACCTTGTGTGCAGGAACACTTACTGGTAGATGAGAGACCACAATAAAACAAGATTAGCAGCAAACCAATTTTAATTGTCAGTGAAAAGCAAACATGTTTGTCAGACCCTCCTATGGAGTTACCTTTAATGGTAACTCTTCTCTTATACCAGGAAGCAGCTGTAGGTGGGGTAATGGCATCTGTCTCCTGGCACAGAGGGACAGCTTAGGGAGGAGCTTCAACACACCCGTCCCACCGCCAGTCCTCACTGCGCCAAGTGCAGGCCCCTGACGAGCTGCTGGACCTGGCAGAGTTCCCCACTTCCTAGTGCCTTGCTCCCCTGGAATTCCACAGCCAATCAACCACAGCAGCCACGTCCTCCTTGCCAGAAATACCATCATTCATACATCCTGCCTTTGTAAAAATCAAGATCCGATTCACCATCACCCGCTTCTTGCCCCTGATCAATGGGGTCCCTGAGTGCAAGCATCCTGTGCAATCCCCTCCCTCCTATTGCTTTCCTAGTGAAGTCCTGCCAGCCCCACAGATCAGAATCTGGGTTTGGGGCATTGGAGAGATGGTGGGCCCCAGCTCTTCCCCACATAGCCCACGCTGCCCAGGGCACTGGCTCCAACCAGGCTCAAGATTGCCTGCCTGCCCGCTGCAGCTGCAGGGACCCACGCTGTGGAAAAGGAAGCTTCCCTTGCTCAACTGCACTGTCCTTTTCTGCTGTCTAGTCTGTGCTAAGGGACACTGTACTCTTTTCAAACGGCACCCTAAATTGGAAGAGAAGGAGGGGCCAGGAACGCAGCTCTCTCCTCCATCTTTCTCCGCCTCCACTCCACCACCCCTGCTACAGACGGTCTTGCATCTTTGATAATTTGGAGTCGCAACCAAGTGAATGTCGAATAAATGAGAAATTTGAAATAGAAATCCCACAGGGTCCTTTGTTCTTCACTGGGGAAAGAGAAGGGGGCCGTCGGTGTGGATTTAAGGGTGAAGTCTCCTGTTCAACACCCACAGCGTCTGTGTCCAGTGCTCTCCCTGCTCACACGGTAGTAAACTCCACCTTCTTGCCTGGCATCGCCCCCACTGCCTCTGTCAGGGTTCAGTCAGGGGAGATGTGTTGTTTGTTGGCAAAGTGGCTGAAGTGGACCTGGAAGGATAGTGAGTTTCCCTGGGGTCAAGCCAGGCTTCAGCCCCTGCTCCCACCCTTTCCCTCTTCCCAACCCCGCATACCCCTTCTAGGCCCTGGGTAAACTCACCTCTCTGAAGCTGAGGAGATCATGCCACATGGCCAGCCCTTTGCTCTGGGGCCAGCAAGGGAAGAGAAGGGAATTGGGACCAGATCCCCAGCACAGCCCAGCAGAGACTTCAGAAGCAGAGAGGGATGTGGGGAACTGGAGAACCAGGAGCTGGCTTTGTGTCAGGGACAATTCAGGGATGAAGTGAGAGCATGGTGTGTGTGTGTACGCTCATGTGCACATGGGTGGGTACAAGCGAGCTGCTCTCTCCACCTCAGGGCCTCAGGGTGAGCCCTGACTGCAGCTTGGGGGTGCAGCAGGCAGCCTGCCCCAGCAGTCCAGCCCCCAGGCACCCAGCCCTGCAGCAGCCTTCCATAGCACCAATGGGAGCACAGCTTCCTTCACCCTTGGCCCAGGGAGCAGTTGGCCACAGCTCTGTCACCACAGCTGTCCTATGGGAACAGAAACCAGACCCTGGGGCACACCCGGCCTCCAGCCTCCCGCCCTCCCGGCACATCTGCTCGGCCTCATGCTTGCTGGCGGGTCAGAGCCCTGACCCAGCTCTTCTCCTGGGTGGCCCTGGACCACCCTCAGTCTCAGCTGCAGCCCCGAGGAGGGTGGAGGAGCGGCTTGAGTCAGACTGAGGAGCACAGGGGAGGTCCTGGCTGTGCTTGTCATTGTCCTTTGGGAAATGCCCCCATCAGTGCCTGAGGTTCAGGGAGGGTGTTTTCTCTTCTTTCTGAGTCCTGAGCAAATCCAGCTGTGGGCTCCAGGTTACGCTGTGCTATCTCAGCAGTCTCAGCCTTGGGTACTTCGGTGATTTTCCCCTGGAAATCATCAGTGACCCTGAATGGCACATGTAAACTTGAGCGGGTTTAGAAAACCGGGCGAGAAGTTTTCATCCTCTGCGCAGTTCAGCCCAAAAAACGGGGAGGCCGAGGCCGTTGTCGAGTGGCGCATCGCCCTCATACCCAGGGGCTTTCCAACCAACAGCTCTGTCTCCCCAGATTCCAGCAGCCCCATGATGGCATCATCCAGCCGACTTCCCAAAACCTGTCCCTGTCACTCTGCTCCTGGGGCTTCTGCAGGGACTTCAAGGAGAAGCTTCCTTCACCATAAAAACGTCTCACCCAGTTTTCTATGCTCAAGTTTACAAATGCTGTTTATTGGCCACTGATTCCACTGATTCCCTGCTCCCACCCTTCCCCTCTTCCCAACCCCGCACATACCTTCCAGGCTGGCGGTCTTCCCGTCTGTGTGGCTCTGGATAAAATCACCTCTCTGAAGCCTGAGGAGATCATGTCACATGGCAGCCCTTTGTTACAGGGACAGCAAGGGAAGAGAAGGGAATTGGGACCCGATCCCCAGCAGCCCAGCAGAGACTTCAGAAGCTGGCCCCCGATTATTTCCAGATTGCTAAACCACCTAAGGCTGTGACCCCCTGAATCATGCAGCATACCCCAGAGCGATTCTCATGCCTCAGACTCCCAAGTAGCCGAAACTACAGGCCCAGTAAGAAACATCCTTGTCTCTTGGTTCTCCACCCAGTGAGCTGATGGTGATGAAGGAAGGGTGGCCATTGGAAAGGGAACTGGTGAAGAGAGGGGACAGCAGGGGAGGAGGGTGAAGGAGCAGCTTGAGTCAGACCAAGGAGCGCAGGGAGGAGCTGGCTGTCCTTGGGGAGCTTCTCCTAGGCCTCCAGGGAACCACTTGGCCTCCCACTTCCTCTCTACCCTGTCACCAACTCCCCCCTCTCCCCACACCAACAGCAGGGAACCCAGCCACAGCTGATAGATGAGGCAGCCCTGGACGCTCAGGGGACAGCACAGTTCTGGTCTCCACAGGGGTGGATGGCCAGCTGGAGGACCAGATTGTGCTGGGCATGTGAGGTTGCCTTCCCCTCCAGGTGTGGACAGAAGACGACATGGCTCCCTGGCCCTGGCCACAGGCATCTGAGCATGTCAGGGACTCCGGTGAAGCCAGGTCGGTATCTACTCCCACCAGGGACCGCCCTCCTGGGCCGGACTTTGCCTTCCCAGAGCTTTTCCATCCATTGGGATCCTTATTCCTAAAACTAGCAAAGAACCACTCACTCTCCCAACAGGGTGTTTGTTCTGGGTCTAATGAGACATTTTGAAATTCAAGTCCTCTGAACTCCTGCCTCTTGAGCAGGAACATGGGAAGCAAACAAACATCTGTCCAGCCTGGGGCCAGTGTCTAGAACCATTCCCAGCCCGGCCAGCGGAGACTCCAGGACCAATCCCTCCTCTTCCAGCTGCGCATCAGGCCCTGCTCCTGGGCTGTGGCTGCCCAGTGGCTCTGCTCGCCCTGCCTCCTCTGCTACTGACTCCACAAAGGCCCTCAGGCCGGGCTGGAAACCTGGAAGTGGCCCTTTCCTGCTGCTGACATATGTGGTAGTTCTTGGACTGGCAGTCCAAGGGTACAGTTTGGATCCTGGGACACTGAGAAGCTGAAAGCAGAGAATGATTGAGCCGGGGAGGATAGAGCACACAGACCTCTGCATCATGTGGGTGGGAGGTGCCAGGGAGCGCCAGAGTGAGGGCTTCTGTCAGCCCTTGCCATGGCCCTTCCCAAGCTGCCAGTCCTGCAGTTATGGGTATCCTAGACAATATATACCTCCCAGCAGGGAGAAGGGGAGGTGGACTCTGTGAAACAAGTCCAGAATGCTGAGAAAGCCTCAAATTGAGGCAAACAGCCATTTTCCACACCCCCAGATGGTTCCGTGGTAGGTTCTTGTAACTACTGTACTTCCCAGCTCACTAAGCTTTCCCTACAGAAAGACCAGTGGCCTCAGGCTCAGGATCTAGGTTCTGGGCTCAGGTCTGCACCGTAAACTGTGGCCTTAGGCGGTCACTTAGTCCCTTGGCTTCCCCATCTGCAAAGTGACCCTTTGAGTCATTCCATGTTAATATTTCATGCCCCCCTTTTATTCCTAGACCTTCTCGACTTAGAGGCCTCTAGGCAAAAAAATTTAAAGCCAAGATGTAAGAAACCTATTGGTGACCCAAGTCCAGTCAAATGAAGCTAGAACATTTCAATAAAGATGAAACAACTTTATTTTCAGAAATCCAACTCGTGCAACTTTCAGGAGTCTCCATGTTGCATGAAGTTACATATACAAGGGCCAGAAATGATCATTCTCTTGGTGAACCCAGTGGCTTCCTCTACAATTGCGTCCACAGCTTTGACCCCTGAGATCCAGTACACTAATGGTGAACCAACATGCTCCTATGCTGAACCGTGCAGTAAGGCCAATCCATGCCTGGATTTTGAAAAAATCGCCATTAGAGAGGAGAGTTAATAGTCAGAAAACTGTTTATTCAACTAACATTTGTTGGTGTTGGAAATAGATGCTCCATGCTGTGAAGAAAAATCAGCACCGAGACAAAGGATCTTTCAGCAGAGAAATTTTTACTTCCTGGACTGCAGGAAGAGCACCCTGGCTAGCCATCATGCCACGAGAGTACAACAAACAAAGGAAAGGAGACATATTTATTTCTTACACATTTGGGGTTGTCCCTACTGCTGTGTCCGATCTCCATTGGCTGGAACCAGATCTCACTAATTTAAACTAAAACCCAATTTTGGCTAATAACTTGAAACTTTTCCAAACAGGTAAAAGCAATGGAGAGCAAAAAAAGGAAGTCCAAATAAGAAAGGAGCACAGGCTGTGAGCTGGGACATGCCTGTGAGCACGGACATGCCTGTGAGCAGGTCCAGCACAGATATCTTGGTTAAAGTACAAGGACATAGAACGTACTACATGCCTGTAAGCACGTCTAACAGCTACATAGTATAGGGCTTCTAGCAGAAAGGCACA